ATATATCGTTTGAAAGGTCTCTTCATTCTCTATTCAAAAATGGTATCGCTTTTAATTTTATTGCAGCAATTAAAATAAAATAAATTAAAATCATGTGGTTACCGAAATTCGATAAAATACACCCAAAAACTAAAATGTAATACAAACGTAATGAAATGTAGAATGCGAAAAAGAAATATGGATGTTAACGACGTAAATGTTCAAAATGTTGACCGCGAACGTCTTGGCAACATCCTAATTTCAAATGAAACTGTCTTCTAACATTATTTAACATATCAGGCGTGACCGATCTAATCGCAAGCGTTATTCATTCTTTTGAGTCATTCAAATCTGAAGGTTTAGTTTTGTACATATTGTTTTTCACATATCCCTATAAAAAGAAATCTAATGATGAAAGATCAGGTGATCGCGCTGGCCATTCAATCAATCCTCGCCTCCCTAGCCACCGATTGGGAAATGTTGTATCGAGGTATTGCCGGACATTAACTTGGTAATGTGGTGGTGCTCCATTCTGCTGAAATCATATCGTATTCACTTCTATCAAAATCGTCTTCCATGAGCTCTAGAGTAGGTGACATTTTATAGGGATGCATTTTATTTTATTTCAATATGTTCACTATCGATTTATGGCTAACATTGAATGTAGTGGATGCCTGTCTACACGATGTATGTGGGTTTTCCTCAAACTCAAGCATTACATCTAATTTGAGTTCATCACTCATTGCATTGGCAACTGCTTTTTTTAACTGCCTCACATGATCAAGCTCGCGAAACTGCTTCTCTATTTTGCTTATTGGTCCTTGAGATATGGACGGTAAATTAGGAAATTTGTCATGAAATAGGCGAGCTACTTCCTGTTGTTCGGGTTTTATCCCCGTAACCAATTATTTGTAAAACTATTATTTTATGCATTTCCGTTAATCTAACCATTAGTCAGACTTGGAGTTAACGAACTATGAACCTAAATTAAAATACTGACAACTAATGTTGTAACATATGAAACAAGTTGACAAGGCGTTTCAAACAAACGTTGCCACTGAAATTATTCACAGTTTTTTAAAAGATACCATCTAAAAAAACATTGCTATGCTTTTTGTTTGCTTTCTTATTATCAGTACCTCATCATGAAATAAGTTTTGAGTTTATTGCAATAAGTTTTGAGTGTATTTTATCGAATTTCGGTAACCACATGATTTTGATGTATTTTATCTTATGTGTTCTAATAAACTTGAAAGCAATAACATTTTAAAATAGAGAATGAAGGGACCTTTCAAACGATATATCACAAGCCTATACTTTCATTTAAAAAATTGGGGGTTGTACCTGTCATTCGACAGAGGTTGAAGGTAGGGGTAGCATTTTTCCGTTGAAGTATGTCGAATTATAATTTAAAATTAACATGTTTCGGGATTTTTTTTCAATATGTACAGTAACCGAAATAATGAATTTACTCCATTTGGCTTTTACACACTGCGTATAGTGATGTCGGTGATTTGAGTCAGTGTCATGTGGTTCGTGAACATGCCCATTTCTGGATAAATGGGTACGTGAACGAAATAAATTGTCGAATTTGGGACGATATCAATCCACCGCCCGCCGAAAAAGTCACTGATTGATGTGGATTTTTGGCTGGTGGCGTCATCTGTCAACCCAAAAAGGGCAAGAATAATCTTCCAAATAACTATAGACCAGTCGATTTGCTATCAGTGGTATCAAAAATCATGAAGGAAGTTGTGAACCACCATATCCTCAAATATTTGTAAGGTTTCAACATCTTGAGCGATCATTAATATGGCTTTCGGAAACAAAGATCAATTGGCGACCTTCTATCGTATATTACCTATATTTGGAATTTGGAATAACGCAACTGAGAAACTTGGAGAATCAAGAGCTGTTGCGCTTGACATTTCTAAGGCTTTTGACTGCGTCTGGCATGAGGGGTTTGCTGGCCAAACTTCGATGCTATGGCTTGTCCGATCATTTTTGTGTATGGCTCTTCAGCTTCCTGAAAGAACGTTCCTTGCAAGAGGCCGTCGATGAATATCTCAAGAATATCATCAACGCTGGTATTCACCAGGGATCCATATTGTCCCCAACCTTTTTTTTATTATATATCAACGACTTATTGGAAAAAACTAAGAATCCAATATATTGCTTTGCTGTCGACAGCACACGTGTCTCGTTATTCCATTTGGATTCCAGGACATCGGCTGCGGAGGCACATCTTCACCGACAGCAGGAGGTTGCATATCTTAATGATGATCTAGAAGTGATTTTGAATTGTAGTGAAAGTAACCAGGTTCAATTCAACCATAACATTATTTCCATGTGAGGTGTACGGTTTATTTAATATACACCTTTTTTATTTATACAAAAGTAGAATTAGGAACTATGATATATTTTATATTTATACTTTATTCTATTTTTAGTAATTGTTTGTGACGTGGATGTCCTATACACATCCAGTACACATCCAGAGATATTCAATTATTCTAGTCATTTCATATGTATATACATTTTCTTAAACCATTTCTCTGCTATAATTTACTGACGTCTTTCGCTTTTTTATTTGCATTGTCACAATGTTGATGTGTAAACTAATTTGTGGAAATAAATAAATCAAAATTATTATTATTATAATGCCACAAAAACCCAGGTATCGGTTTTCTCCAAGACGATAAATGTCTCCGAACCGTATATAATAATGTCAGGACAGACAATTCAGCTTTCTGCTTCGATTAGTTTGTTTGCGATTAAAATGGACACCCATATGTCTTGGTACAATCATGTCGCTGGAATTACGAAGGCTGCTTCTTAAAAGCTTGGAACACTGTTCCGAACCAGAAAACTTTACTTCAGATGCTTTATAAAGCTCAGATCAGACATGTATGGAGCGCTGTCTCCAAACATTTCCTGAAGTTGCTGGATTCCAACCAGAAAAGAGCCAACAGCCTGATTGGAGACGCTAACATCACGTGCAACCTCAATAACGGAACATCGAAGAAAGGTTGGAGATTTGTCTCTCTTCAAATCCAATGTGAATCGCTACTTTCGCACAGGCAATGCTCTGATTGCGCCTTAAGGATTTTCCTGTAGTGCTTGTGTTTTGTCTTGATAACGACATTGGCCAGGCCATCACTGTCAACGGCGAACACTATAAGTCGATGACTACAAACTTTTTTTGACCTGAATTGGAGGATATGGGTACCAACGACATGTGGTTCCACGTGGAGAAGCGGTGCCGGTGGCGGACATTTGAACGATGTTATATTTCACACATAATGGCATCAATAGGTCTTCAAAACGAGTAAAAAAATTGATGATATCTCACACATACTTTGTTTTATTTGAATCTAAAGATAGGAAGCACTCGATGAAAGACCCTATACAATGGTTGGAATGTGTGGTCTCCATTTATTGATCGTAATTCAAGCGGTGAGATATACCTTAATCAGTTTTATCAAATATTCCAAAGACATTCCTCTCCGTAACATAAAGGCTTACTTAAGTGACCAGTACAATTTTCTGACTTGTACTTTTCCTATAGATATATCTTGAAGATTTTGTTTACGCAATACAACCCATTTCATTAGACGATTCATGTAATAAAGTCTCTCAGATTTTATTCAAATCATCCCAAATATAATAAGGGAGTTGTTACGACATTTCGAAGCTTGTGTTGCTGCAGAAGGTGGACATTTTGAATATTTTGTATAATTGGATGCAGTTAGTTTCCACGTTATTTTCTCAATAATGAATCGAAAAGAGAGAATGTTTTGTGTGACGATTATCCCTTTAATGTAAAACTTTAGCTCACAGACATTTACTACTTACTACTGAAAGAAAAGTATTGCTTCTTTAGATTCATTAGGCTTTCGTAGATGAGATTTCATTTTTGGAATAACAGAGGAATATTTTGTAGTAATTCATTATTCACTATTTTTCAAAATTCTGGACTCCACCGGAGATATAATCGGTTGCCATTTGGAAAAATAAACGTTAGGGGTGTTTCCAAAGGGGCGAGTTTTGGAAGGGTACTTTGTAATGTAGAAAATTCTGTTAATTTCATTCCTATTTGAATTTGTTTCGCGCTCAATGTCTATCTTTTCAAATAATGAATCATGAGTAATCAATATCTTACGAAATTCGTTGGAAAATACGACAATTTTTCAACATCCACAACGACTCATTACTTCTCAGAACAATCAGTTATAACGCTTCTGTGAATCAAATAAATTTTGTCACAATTTTCACAAACAAAATGATTACATAATCATATTTAATCAAAATCTCAGGGAATTTATTGGAAAATACGGAAATTTCTCAACATCCACAACGACTCATTACTTTTCAGGACATTCAGTAATAACGCTTCTGTAAATCAAATAAACTTTGTTACAATTTTTACAAACAAAACGTTTACATTATCATAATCATTGTTTTTTCTCTCGTTTAGTTTTCTTTTCTTCAAGGCTAGAACTAAGATCAACAATACCCTTCCGGTACATGTTGTTTCTAGCCTTATTTGTAGTTTTTTTATCAATTTTATAGATTGTATATTTATTGTATTTATATGGAACTACAAATAAATATTATTATTATTATTATATCCCACGAAATTCCTTAGAAAATACGGAAATTTTTCAATATCTACAACGACCCGGCTCGAAGGCCCAAAAAATCAATTATTCCATTTGTAGAACATCTCGAAATGATCTGTCAGAAATTAACATACCAAAATGAATTAGAATTCCTGCAATTGATTTTCTTCAAATAATTTTGAAGGATTTTTTTAATGGAAGGATTCATGGATATCAGAAAACACCTACACTTTTTTACAGTCAATTAGGTAATAATAAGAACAATAGAATCATACTTGTCTCCCCTCTAGTTACTGAAAAATATCAAGTGCACAGAAAGCGATGTTACCAATTTCTCTTGGTTCAGTCCAATAAGATAATATTGATGATGATAATTGCAACAAGTATTTTCTCTTTCAGTTTCCGAAGGCACACCTTGTTTCACCTCACGGAATGAATATGGTCTTTGCACGAACATCTACGACTGCGAGGTCATACTCAATCTCGTTAAAACTCGAAGCCAAGACCCTGAAACCAGGCTCTATCTCCAGGCTTCAACTTGTCTGCGAACCGATAAGCTAGTGATGGTGTGTTGTCCGCAAACAGCCAATGTCAAAACCATTGATGACGATAGAAATTCAAATGGTGACAACGAAAGCACAGATGCAATTTCTAGAAATAATGATGTCAAGGAAAAGAAGGCACAGCTACTTAGTAAACCTGATTGCGGTTTGAGTAATGTGACGAATGCAAGGGTTGTAGGAGGAACCCCTGCAAAACTTGGTGAGTATTTTGAAGAATTACTGCCAAAAATGGATGATAATATAACATATTGATTTAAATTAATTTTCTCAACACCATAAATTCAAATTTTCTCCATTGAATTTGATATGGTATACGGTATGTTTAATATATATAAGATTCCCTTTCGAATTTAAATAAAAAATCTATAATATCTAACATGAAACAGCTTAAGAATAGATTAACTATCAAATAATGAAATACTATCCTCAATAGAAAGGGAACAAAGTTATTCAAATTATCGTTTTATGAGTCCTTCACTTGTTCTCACTGTTGCCACTTTGCATATTCCATCTGGACCAGGATGGAGCTGCACAATTCTGCCTATTGCCCATCACAGTAAAGACAAGTTGCTGTCTTTAACGAAAACCATTTGGTCGATTTCAAGTTGATGTGAGTTCCCCATTACACTCTTCGTTGAAGTTCTGCAACGAACTCTTTGTACCATATCTGCCAAAATAATTGCTTGTAAATTGAATCTCTCCAGATGGTTTTCAGCAATATCAGTGAAGACAGAAACTAGGGACCTCCCAACCAAAAAATGACCAATAGTCAACACTTCCAAGTCAGAACGATCTATCGAAAGAGGAGTTGGTGGTCAAGAATTCAGTATCGATTCAACTTTGACTAATAATGTTGAAAAGTCTTTATAAGTCAACTTTAATTCTTCCATTACCCGTATCATATAAAATTTGTATGACTTCACCCCCGCTTCTCATAGTCCTCCGAATTGTGGTGAACAGGCAGGAATGACGTTTCAACAGATACCTCCGTTCGCGAATGATTCATACAAAACTGTTTAATTCGACTTGAGAAATTCTATTAACCTCAGTTTTGAATTTGCTCCAATGAAAGCAGTTCCAGAGATTAACTTTTGTGGTTCACCACGACGTGCTACAAAAAGTCTACATATAGCCATGAATGTCTCTGTTGTCATATCTATGACCGATTCTAAGTGAACTGCGCGAGTCAAACAACAGTTGTATATAAAGACATAACATTCTGAAATTGACCAACCACGTCCAATTAAAATAAAAGGGTCATCTGTATCTGTAGAGGAGGGTGAGTGTAGGCCCACAGCACTTAGGCCACATGTGACTCATTGTACATCCTTCCGAGGAGTTGTCCTCCTAGTTCATCGTCCATCCTGTCCTTTCCAGGAAGGTGGACAGGTCACTGGGAGACATCTCCTTTATATCGGCAGGTGTAGGCCAAGACTCCCCGAACACACACTCTCATTCATGATAACTCCGGACATTCGCATAGGACATGCCTAACAGTTTCATCTTCCTGTTCACATAAAGGTGTGTCCACTAGCCCGATATTGTGGAGGTGTTTCCTTCATCAGCGCCAGATGACCAGGCGATGACCAGGACCATCCTTTGATTTCATCCCATCTCTTTAGGGATTGAGCATGGGTGTGACGTTTGGCTAGTTCCGCAATTGTCGAAGTCATCAGGCCGTAGGTGCCTCTGGGTCCTAAAATTCTTAGTCCAGCTGCTTCTTTGGCTAGAGAGTCGGCAATGCGATGACCTTTACTCCTATCGTGCCCTTCAATCCACCTCAGGATAATGTTATTGTCTGCCGAGTCTTTGGCTAAATTTTGGTGGCACTGAGGTAACGCGTTGTCTGTTCACGGGTAATAGGGCGTGTCTGCTATCAGTGCATATTGTTATGTTTTTGCCAGAAATTCCTTTCCTGGTTTTTTCTTTTGCATCGATTGAGATACCAGCCAGTTCTGTTTGAACCACGCTGGTATTTTTTCCCATTCCCCACTTAATGCTTAGGCTTAGTGATCTGGAGTACACTTTACATCCTGAGCGTTCTTTGGTTTTTGAGCCGTTTGTATATATGAGTATTGCATTTGTAGCATCTGACTCTGTATTCTGTTTTATTTATATTTTGAAGGGTTTATTAAACACAAACCTGGGTTCAATTGCATCACTGGTTGCATGCAGCAGAGGTTGCGCAGTAAGCACTTCTCGCCATAGGCTCAGCCTCAATTGACCCATTCCTACTTCGAGGTTTACACCAGCCGTGCGCAATGGCCATCAACGCAACCTCCTTAACGTACAGGTCCAGAGGGGTCAGACCATAAAAGGGTCAAAACTGGTGACGACTATATGGGTATATGGTTATGACATCGAAACCAAAGTCCAATCGTCCCAATGGAAGAGCCCAGGAGAGCCAAGACCAAAAAAATCAGGCCAAGTTCGATCAAATGTCAAGGTTTTATTCACAGTTTTCTTCGATTAGTGTGACGTAGTGCATCAGGAGTTTTTGCCACATGATTGTACGGTTAAGAAGGAGTATTATCTTGAAGTAATGCGCCGCTTGCGAGAAGCAATACGAAGAAAACGTTCGGTATTGTGGAAAAACAATTAATGGTTTTTGCATTATACCTCAACCACCGTATTCACCAGATTTGACACCCTGGGGCTTTCCTGTTTCCAAGTTTGAAAAGATCCATGAAAGGGTGACTAGTTTGAAGACGACAAAATAGAAATTGATTAATAAATAATTATTTGTTTAAGAAAAAGAAAAATTCACCTCATTTTTGGAAAGACCCCGTGTTACCTATGTGAATCTGGATCGGTGGCTAGTGTTTCTATATTTTTCAAGAAGAGTCATAGCACATTTACCCATCCTGAATTGTATACCGTTAGGAAACTACCATCCTATGGATTTGATTAATTTCTCATTGAATGTGGTTTTTAATAAGTACAGCTGCCGGAGTGAGTCATGGCCGGTGAGAAGCCCCTCCCTCAAGATGTGCAGTAGATGTGTAGAAATATGTTATCACTCTGTTAGATTATTCGAGCCGTGAACATCCAAATTCAGGACCGCATTCAGTTAGTGATGGAGTTTAAAAGTATATTGCATAAACATATGTTGTACACCGACCCAAACTTTACGCAGATACGATTTCTCCCACTGGCCATGACTCAGTCCGGTAGCTCTATCATTCAAGTGTAGAAAATTTCGATTAACTTTTTATTCAAGGGCATGTTCACCCATTTATCATCTGCTCTATTAACATTGAATCGTTAATTGAACACACACACCGACATTCTAGAATTTAATAAATATATTAATATATAATTGTTTATCAAGTTCATTTTATATTCTTATTTGAAAAACTCTGCGAATATATACATTTAGTCTAGTCGTTTGGACAAAGTTCTTGAATTCAATGAGTTTGGAATTAGATGAACAGTGTTCACGTAATACCATGTTTTAACATTAAACCTTGAATCATGTTAATTTTATTAATTTTGTGCATTTCGATTGAAATATTACAAACTGTTTCATGCATTAGTCAATATATTTGAAAAATGCAAGGTGTGGAAATACTTGCATTTCCTTTTCCATAAATAGATACTTTTTTTGTAATTCCAACAGTTGTCAATGTTTTTATAGAAACCGCGAAACCACAATATAGTGCAGTGTTAGATTGAAATATTCAAGTCCTGAAGGTACCTTTTCCAAATCGATTTGATGTTTGACGTAGTTATGTGTTCCGAGAAAAAACCCAATGATCAAAATATCAAAATCATGAAGAAGAATAAGAAGTCCCACAAATAGTCCTCTCTTTACCTATTATTTTATTGTTATGCTCATAAAACAATTAATTGCAAATTACTCCAGAAGAAAATTATAATCATTCTATAATATCCCAGCGATTTGAAACAAACACATTATACCCGACTAATTCTAAGAGACGCCTTGATTTCCAATCTATCCAAAATCAGAAAATGACAATCAATTTAGTACCTACTTTGAAAACAAAATTGAAAAACTGGTTACACTATTTTGAAACAAAATAGTTTTATGCAAGATTCAGAATCAGAACTTCTAACTTACTCTCATCTTATTTCTCTGTCTCTGTCAGTAATTTTAATAATTAATGTGGTTCAGAATTTGAATAATAGTATGAAAATTTCAATTCAAAGGAATCAGATCAAGGTCTTGCCTCCGAACCCGTACATATTCTGCAAACTTCTGGAATTTTCAAATATTTCAATTAGTTGTTTTTAAGCTAGGGTTTCGTAACTTAATGTATGTTTTATTCAAAAATATTGTATTTCAATAATAAATTGTGAAAACTAACTGGAATCCAAGATATTTGATACATGACACAATTTCAATGTTTTCATTATCAATTTGTACATTTATTTCATTTAAATCAAGATTGTTCCATTTATATTTTGTTGTCATAATCATTCCTTTAGTTTTCATTTTATTCAGTTTCAATTTATTGGTCATGAGATACTCATTTACATCATTTAATGTGGCATTCATTTTATTAATAGCTTCATCTAAGTTTGAATCGTAGCATGCCAATGTATCATCTGCAAATAAATTTACAAAATCAACATTTATTAACATATGTATATCCAATTCCTGAGAAATAGAGAGTGGTAGGAAATCATAATGAAGAAAAAATAATAGAAACTTGTATAAGTTTGAATATGTCCGTATAGGATGAAACTGCAGTAACGTTAGTTACTAATGAAAGTGGTAAAAAATAGAAAGTTTCTATTGTCTTTTCTTCAATATAATCTTGAACTCGGACTTTTTCCTTTCTATGAAATAAATACTACTGGATATTCAAAACAATCTACTCTTTCAATTTTTTGGATACAATAGCAGAGTTTAAATTTTTTTGAACATTTCACAGCACTTTTTTATTTCACAAAGTTTGATAATGATGCCTCATCTTCAGAGTGATAATGATAATCCACAATAATTTTTGTGGATGCTCAATAGTTATTTTCTTAACCTGAGTCAAACTCTAGAATCTCCATGTAGTTCACGTATTTCCATATTTTCCTTCTCAGTGGCGTCTGATAAATCAATTACACTCGGAATAGCCATATCACATCACCATAAGTGATTCAATACGTAAAACGAAACCAACGCAATTGCAATATTTCTCCATTACGCGTATCGCATCGGTTTGGAGGGATTCTTGAATTTAT